AACCAGGAAGTTCAAAGGGTTAAAGAAAGCGTTCCAGGAACGCCTTAGGAAATTGTCGCCGCTTCCATATTTATTAGAAGAAACAAAATTAAAACTTCAAGAAGCCTTATCACAAAAACAGATGGCTGAAAGAACAGCCGAAACGATAGCAGCTGAATTTGAAGAATTCAAGGTGTTAATCACATGTTATAAAAGAAATTAAAATATTATCGTGCATTCGGAAAACCTTTAGAAAATTTTCTCAGTTGGAAAATTTAGAAGTTGACCGTTATCAATAATGGAAAGTTAATTTCCTTTTTAGGAACATGCAAAAGCTATTGCAGAGGATGCAAGACGTGTCCGAAATTGTCAACAGCAGATGAGTGCTAAACAGATGTCTGATCAGCAAGTTACTGATGAATTACGAGCAGAAAATATTAGATTATCCGAAGAGGTACATGATATTAGCTAAATATTATATTTGATATTTTCCCTATATAATTCTCAATCATAATTTTAATAAAATCCTGTTTTAAAATAACCACAGACAGTTTTGTTAAGCAATGCTTTCACTCAAATATTAAAAACCTTAAATATCCGAATTTGTAAAAAATTTACTTAAATCGTTATATATGTTAATATTAACCCTCTCCACTCGCTAATTCCAAGATTTATAAGAATTTAGCCGCCAGAGCGGCGACACCCGAGTGGAAAGGGTTAATATACATTTCTTGGTTTTATTAATTTAACTCATTTATCTATTTTCTCATTGATTTCAGTTAGCAGTGTATAAAGCAGCTGCAGACACAAACTGCAAAAAATGAACAGAGAACAAGGGAACTATTATGCGAATCAAAAGAATTGGTTTTAAAAATGGACCGAATGCAGAAAGACAATGCACATAAAAATGAAAAGTAATTAATCAGAATTTCAATGCCATAGCTTAATTAATTTATTATTAATAAATTAATTATTCTATTGCATTGAAATTCTGAGCAAGATATACAAGTTCCCTATTCAATCCTCTCTACTTGACATTATATCATAGTTAAAATTCTAATGACTTATCTGATAAAATATACAAATTATCAGATTGTGAAGACTGAAGGTAAATATATGTTTTTCTCTAGATATCGTGAAAGGAGTGAAGCCACAAAACGTGTAGCCTTAGCTAGAATATCTGAGCTAGAAACAAGTTTGGCGCAGGCAAGAGCAGCAGCTAATTGTGCTGCGCAAGAACACGAAGAACTCAGACGGGGTTTGCAGGCTAAAATTGATAAGCTTCGGTACTATAAATATAATAATATAATTATAGTAAAATCGTATTCTAAACAATGCAGATTTAATTTTTTTTTTTTTTATTATATTATAGATTCGATTACGAGGACGCGATGTTGCGCATCAACGGCATGCAAGGACATGTACAATATCTGCAAGGATTATCAGGCACTGATGATTAATGGGAAAATTAATTTACCTTCTACACATATGCTAGCAGACCGTTACTTAAACGAAAGCAGCGAAATAATTGCAATAATGCCGCCAAAAGCAATGAATCAGGATGAAGATCCTTGTCAACAGATTTAGCAAAATTAATAAAATGAGCAAAGCAAATTGTTTTAACACATATCCATAAATTCGAAAACTGCCTGTTAGAACTATAAGAGTTGTATCTATCAAATTGTCCTTCAATAAATTTTTTATTAGCTTTTGTAAATTAGAATGTTTTTTGTAGACCGATTTGTGAGATACAAATATGCACAATGTAATATTTTTTATGAAATCTTACAGTTTATCCTGAATTTTTGTGAGAGAGTTTCATCTAAAAATAATCACTATCGCCAAACAAAAAGCAATGTTATAAAAATATAACTTATAAATATATTTATAAATATAATTATTTAAACATTCTTAAATATAATATAAATAATTTTTGCTTAAATCTATATTACTTACACATACTAGGCGGTAGAAAAGTTATCTATTGTATTACATGTGCTTATGATTAAATTAACAATTTGTTCCTCTTCGTCAATGCTTAGTTTTGGCTGTAATTTATTGAAAATAAGCTTCATATCCATTAGGAACTAAAAACAAAATATGTATTTGAATTAATCATGTGATAATCATTGAAAAACAAATAAAATCTTCATACATACTTTATCTACAGCTCGCATGTCTGAACTATATGGTGACTTACTATTAGGACTTAAAATATCACTTGAGTAGGATTTGACTATCTCAAGAATATTTTTTAAACTAGCTTCAAGATTTTGAATGCTTTTACTATCATGCTTATATTTTATTTCGTATTCATATGGTATATCATTGGACGGGTTTGGTATTGTAAGACACCTGGTTAATAATAAAAATATTTAGTATGAAAATTTAAATCATGTAAAAATAAAAAATCCCTATTGTACAAGCAAACAAACCTCAATTCACCATTATGAGGCCCAATAATAATACCCATAAATGGACCATTTTTTTCAAAACAACATTGCATTTCTTTTTGAGTATTTAAGTCTTGTAAAGAAGGTAATGGTGGAAATCCAGGATGAGAATGAACCCAGCCTACTACGGACAACCCATCATTTGATATAGCTGTTACTGATTCCGATTGAGATACTATAAATATAAAAAATATTCTAATGAGATTAGGTTGTTTCGATGCAATTTATTTATACATGTATAAATCTCATTTCATTTCTAAATTTATTTTATTTAAATTATTATTAAATGTAAATACCCTTTAAAAACATACCTGGACACATTTCACAATCTATTCGTGTTTGTTGAACAGTTTGGCAAGGTTGATATTTATTAACATATAATGTTTTAGATTTTACTTCATTACAATATATTCCACCAACAAGGCCCATTACTTCATTTCTGGAGGTAATTGAATGAAAGTTCATGGAGAGAAGAGCAGATATTTCAATATGCACTTCAAAAGGTTGCTATAGTTAAAAAAATGGATATTAGTAACAAATAGTAATTATTTTAATATTATGGTAGCTTTCAGCACATACATGAAAACTTTCTGTAAATTTCGAACAGTTCATTAGTTGTCCACCATTCCTCTTATAATGAGTTCGAAGTCTTACTGTATTTTTTGGCATCTCATTATCTTGTGAATGTGATATAGTATAACCTTCGCTATCCTGCAAAAAAAAAGTGTGACAAATTCCAAGCAAGTATTTCTTATAAGCATTAAGCTCATTACTTACATTTGCATATGCCCTATTTTTTTTTCTTACTCTTACTGGTTGATTAACTTCTAAAGATTCATTCTTAGTACTATTATAACTATTTATTATATTAGAATTATTTTTAAATAGATCTGACATTGGCCTTATGTAACAAGTTTGATCTAAAAAAATGTTAATGACCATATAAATATTTTATATGTATATTTAAAACAATCAATTAAAAAGTATATAAAAGAGCAATTTAAAATTACCACAATTAAAATTTATGGCTCCTAATTGCTCTAAAACTGAGTGTATTCGACCAATAGAATTAACATCGCCACAATTTTTCAGACCTTGTCTTGCTTGTGTTTTACTTAAATAGTTAGGTCTAGTACTTTTCCATCTAGACAACATATAATTCCTTATTTTTAAATATCTTTCTGGTGTTTTTGTTGGCCGGCCTAAAATATTAATTTACAAATTTAAAAAAAAAACATATTTATATAATTTGGGTACATATATACAAACCATCAAAAAATTCAGAATTAAAATATTTTTCTAATTCAGATATACATTCAGAGTCAATAATATATTCAGATTCCGGTTTTTCTAAAGATTGTAATTGCTTTTTCAAATCAATTGATATATTAGGTTCAGCAACATCTGAATCTTCATCACTGTTTCCAACAGATTCGTTTGTTTCATCAGTTATAACGACTTCTTCATGAAAACAGTTAATACTATCCATATCATCAATAATGGTTTCTTCTTCAAAAACATCATCTGAACTATTAATGCAGCCATCAATAGAGACACAATTTATAGAGTGTTCTTCCGATTTTCCATTTTGAATTGTTTGGCTTGAATTAAGAATTGTATTGTTTTCAGTTGGTGCAGGAGTATCATCTACTTCAATATCTATCTCAGTATCACTATCCACATCTGATCTATTTTCAAGCTTTATCTTTAAAAGAAAAAAAAAACAAATCAGTTCTAATAACATTTTAGCAAACAATAAATAAATATAATAATAAAAAAGTAATAGTTTATCAAATAAAAGTGTCATACCACTTCTTCAGACTCTGATATAGGCAAAGCTTTTCCTCCTCCAGTTATCAAATGTAAGGTGTATGGGGGCTTTTCCGAGAACTTCATTTTATTTCTAATAATACTATTTCTTTGAAGTCTTGTTTTTTTACTCACTAAATTAGAACCACTATTCTTTATATTCTTTGACTTGGAAAATCTTTGTTTCATACTAGCTATTATACTTTCTTTAATACTAAGTTTATTAGGTTTAATTGCACTTAAACTTGATGGTTTTTTAAGATACTTTTGAAACACTGGTTTTAAAACACTTCTGGAATTATTACCTTTAACAACTGATTTCTGTCTCCAAGCATTATGAATAACTTTTTTAACTTCAGGATCATTTTGTTCCTTTTTTTCATGTTTTCTAACTGTGGTTTTTGCTGTACTGACAATACTTATAACTTCTTCAACGGAAGCTGGTATATCAACATCATCAAGCACTTCATCACCAATACTTTTGGTGTTTTGATTACATTTGACTTCACTAACATCTAAATTAACATGATTGGTGATCGTGTTTTCTAAACTCACTTCAGAAACTGCAATTTTTGTTAAATTTTTATTTTGAGAAACTTTAAGGTATTGTTTAACTTGGCTTGGTGTTTTAGATCCGATAAATTGGCTTAAGCACACTGGACTGCTCCCAAACAGTTCCTATAATTTCAAAAATTAAATAAGACATGATATAAATTTCATTGGTGCAACATTGATGTAATACATACTAGACCCCTTTCTAATAAAACAATTTCAGTAGTGGACCAACCCAATATTGGCTCTATTTTTGAAACATTCGGTCGTGTGGCTATAACATTTATGACAGTAGGTGGAGATATACTCTTTACCCGTTCATTAACTCTAAAATAAGATATTATTATAATTCTGAATAACAAATGTTAGTATTTAGTATTTGGCGAATATACTAATTTACTTTGTTGTTTCATCATTATAGAAGCAGGAAGATGATGAATCTAAGAGCCATTCATTGTGTGAATTCATTGAATAATCACATTGCAAAATATCAAGTTCTGAGTTTATATTAGATCTGAAAATTATAAAATATATATATAAAAACTTGATACTTGATAAATATATATATAAAAACTTGAAATAAAACTTGATTGGTTTTATGATTTACAAAACTGGTTCATTTCAGCTTACATTGCATTAGTTCCTGCCAGAAACCCATCTAAACTATAATCTCCTAAAATATCAATTTCGTCTTCTTCAGCCATTATAGGTTAATTCAATTAACTCATTTTGTGCAATTTTACAATAAACACATTTGTGCTAATATCTTTTAATTATTATTACACAACTGATAATTAATAACAAAATTAATAAAAAATACTTTATAAAATATTCATAAATATTCGTAAATATTATTATATTTTGACATAACTTTGTCATCAGGGTTTTCAGATTACACAATAGTGAAGTTGCATACGGTTGGCAACATTGTCACAAAAATTCTTTGACTTTTGAAAGTTAATCTGTCAAAACAAATTCTTAACGAACCTAAAAGAGGAATATAAAACTGGGTTAAATATATAGGTTAAAAGCGACGTAAACATAAATAAACAACATTCAAATTAGAAGATAAAATCTAGAAATTATATCCATTACTATGGATCCAGCATTGCTTCGTGAAAGGGAAGCGTTTAAACGCAGAGCCCTTGTCCTGCCAACGTAGGGTTAAAATACAAGAATATTTAAAAAAAATCATTAGTGCAGTTGTTAATTGAAATTTATTTATTGTAGTGTAGAGAAAAAGAAACGTGACGATGTTCCGCCGCCTAAAGATGAACCTCGTAAGAAAAAAGTTAAAACCTTTTCTTCAAGTGGCCCAAAATTGGATAGCACTAAGTAAGATCCTGTCCTAAAAGGAAACTGAATTGGCTAGCAGTAAAACTTGTTTAATATCAGTTCTAGTTTTGATCGAGAACATCATAAAAATTCTAATCCTATGATTAAAAATTATGGCATGCTCACCTTTTACTTAGTTGCAGGCACAAACCATAGCTGAAGTATAAGATATTTTTTATATTTGTTAAAAGTACGTAATATGTCGAGTTTTTTCCAGATTATTTATTTTCCCAGTATTATATTTTGGATTCAAAAAGCTACGAAAACCTAAGCTCAAGTATCATCCAAATTTTTCTAAAAATTGAACATATTCCACCTCTATAGCATTTAATATGCTACCTTTTTTCATAATATATAGATAAATATTTCTTTTTCCTGTATATGCAGTTACAAGACTATGAGTGGTAGCTCACAATATCGTTTCGGTGTCTTGGCTAAAATTGTAAAACATATGAGAACACGCCACCAAGAAGGTGATGATCATCCTCTTACATTAGAAGAAATTTTAGATGAAACAAATCAATTAGACGTAGATTCTAAAGTAAAGCAGGTCAGAATTCTGAAAACTTTAATAGAAACATAATTAAACCATTTTTATAGTTGCACAATTAATAATTCTATATTTGTAGTGGTTACAAACTCAAGCATTCCCAAACAACCCTAAAATTGAAGTTTCAGTTGATGGAAGATTTTCATTCAAAGCTGTTTATAAAATCAAGGACAAAAAAAGTTTATTGAGGTAATTAAACACTATATTTTTACGTATTCATAATTAGAATTCGTTTGTAAATAGAAAATTTATCTACTTGCACAATAACATGTTACAGATTGCTTAAACAACATGATCTGAAAGGCCTTGGAGGAATATTATTAGAAGATGTTCAAGAATCATTACCCCATTGTGAAAGGGTTCTAAAAAGTTTACAGAATGAAATTATATACATAGTACGGCCAATGGATAAAAAGAAAATCTTATTTTATAACGACAGAACAGCTGCAATAACTGTGAGTAAATACTCATGCACTTAAACTTCTTGCTTTAAATTGTTATATGAAATAACTATAAAAATAATTACAGATAGATGAAGAATTCCAGAAACTTTGGCGATCTGTTGCAGTAGATGCCATGGATGATGCTAAAATTGATGAATATTTGGACAAACAAGGTAATGTATATTTTAGGATAATGAAGTTTTATATAAGAATTCAGTACAGAGTAAATTATTTCAAAATTCAACAGGTATCAAATCAATGCAAGACCATGGGCCTAAGAAACCAATTATACCTAAAAGAAAGAAAGGCATTCAGAAGAAAAGGCAATTCAAGAAACCTCGTGATAATGAACATTTGGCAGATGTTCTAGAAACTTATGAAGATAATAATATAACACAAAAACCAATTAATACATAAGATATTAGACATAGGAATAGATATTTGATAATTCACTTTGTAAATAAATACAAAATTATTTTTATGAAGGCAATAAAATATAATTTAAATAATTTAGGTAATTATTTTAAACCTTTGATATAAGAATATAAATATCCATTTTGATCTTAAGATCTTTATATTAAGAATAGTACAAACAGTATTAATTTTTCATTATATATATAATCTATTTCAAATCAAATATTTTATTTACACAGTTTTAATTATTATTCTATTCTGAAGGTGACCAAGCATCTTTATAATTTTCTATAGTCATTGTTTTATATCTTCGAAGAACTACAGCTAAATCTTCATCCTTTGGAGTTGCCGAAAGAATTTCTACTCTCGAAATGAGTAAATGGTCCTTATTGAGAGGACTTGGTCCTTTTACAATATCAATCTCATCACCAATTTCTAGTTGAGCGCTCTTTTTCAGTAACTTTTGTCCGTTGACTCTGATTTTACTTTCGTAGAAGTGGGTTTCTATTTTGTTTCTTGCTAGATTTAAGCCGCTTTTTAGAACTAAATCAGCTCTAAGGGAATTTAATTTGGTTTTTACAATTTTGGAATCTCTATCGCTTGTGAACTCTTCTTCTTCATCTGAATCGGAATCATATTGTTGAGTTTTTCCTTTTTTGTCGTATTTAAAACGTATGTTTTGGACCAAAGGTTTTGGAGGAATCGATTTTATATAATTTACATGTGTAATTCCCAGGCTAACAATACTTGTTCGAAAAGCTAATGTTGAGTAAAATGCTTTGGAGCTCGATTTATGAACAATACGCCCGACAATAGACGTTGCCATTTTATAATTAAAAATAATATTTGATAACCAAAAATTTATTTAAATCTTCACTCATTTTTACTTTGACAACTTTTGTGTGTGTATGGCAATACTACTACTGCTCAATACAATTTCAACATACACAATTTTTTCATATGTTTATTATAATATATTTTTAACAAAAATGGAAATAATACAAACCTAGAAAATAAAAATGAGTGATCTTCAGTACAAGAGTCTTATTAATTAAAGGTAACTAATACATTCTTAATTTAATGTAACATAACCTTGAAAAATTGATAAAATCTAAAATTTGGTACTGTAGTTTGAAAATTCTTATTTATGATAAATAAATAGACTTATGTATGGATTCTTTCACTTTTATTAAATTGTGAACATTTGCAAATTCATTAACAACAGGTAAAATTTTTGCTTTAAAGCAATCACCCAGTTTTGCTAATTTTTTCAAACAAGTTTCTGGATTTGGTTGTTATAAATGAATAATCATTTTATATTATAATGCCTTTAGTAAGGTTATTAAGTCTATAATATCGTTAAAAGTATTATTAAAGTGTAAATATTAATTTTCGAACTAATTTTTTCGGGCTTGAAAACGAGTCCTTTTATTGAGGTCCTGTCAACGCGTTCATTTCAATTTAATATAGTTTGTTCTGTCATCTTAAAAAAATGATAAAAACTTTAAAAAATAATAACATTTTCAAGATTGTTATTAATGATAAATATATAATTGTGTTTGGAATTTTTCATTAGGAATTTGGAATTTCACCTAGTTCAACCTAGGATAAGAAAAACCTCAGTTCCATTTTTTGACAATCAGGTAGAGATTTTTTTCGAGTTTTTGTGCTAAAATAATCATCAATAAGGTGATTAAGTGTATAAATCAGCGATTTTATGTATAGTTTCATATAAGAACGTTGAATATTAATTTTTATATCATTTTTTTCTGACAAGTACAGAGTGTCCAAAGGAGTCCTTCTAATTGATAGGGTCCTGTCAGTGTTCCATTAAAAATACTGTATTTTGTTCTGGTATCTTGCAAAATTGACAAAACCCAAAATTTGGTACTCTAGTACCAAAGGGATTTTTATAAATGCATTAAATATATAAATTTATATTTGAATCCTCTCACTTTTACTAAATGCTAAACCTGTGATTTCCAACCTGCGGGGCGTGCCCCCTCAGGAGGGCAAGTAGCTGTATCCAAAATGTTTTCCAATAAACACCAAAAAAGTCGATTTAATCGTGGCTTAAGGCAAATTGTTGGAACTTCCCGTACCACAATCAAAACATCTTGGTACGGAACCCAAAAAAATTTACACAAAATGTGTACACATTATTAAAATATCTGATAATTTGATGTACATATGTCCAATAAACATTTTTGACCGCCAAAATGACACTTTTTTAACTTAATTTTATAGAGAGTCCATAACCGTTGGACCTGCCTTCCTAAAAATTTAATCGGTTCTTCATCTTGTCAATACAAGTAAAATGCTTTTTGAATTATTAAAGTCAGACGCTCTGTTCTCTTAAAAACTGATTTACCGTTTTTGGCACTTTTTGCCCCGTATCTTTGGAACGGCTAGACCTGCCTTCGCCAAAAACTAATCAGCACGTCTCCTTATCAATACGAATCGAATGTTTTCTGAATTATTCAAATCGGTTGATCGGTGCTCCCGAAATCGCCAACGAAAATTTGTATCCGCACGCACACATACATCCATTTTTTCTAAGGCATGCCAAAATGTTCAGAAACCTCTGAAGCGTAAAGATATTAAAAAAAATCATTTTCGATATTTTTGCGATTACTATAACTTACCCTATGGGAAGTTAACAAAAAAGTAGATTTGATATAAGAAAATGAATGAATGAATAATTAATTTTTATGTATATATTTTTGTAGTCCGATAAATAAATTATAATATTAGTTGAGTATTTATGAAATTACATTTTTGGTTTTTGAATTAAAATTAAGGGTGCGCAACATTTTTTTTAAATGGCGAAGGGGGAGGTACGAATAGGTTGGAACCACAGCGTTAAACATTTGTAATTTGTTGTACATTAAGAACAGGTAAAACGTCGGTCTCATTTGTTTGGCAATCACGTAGTGCATTGTTTCGATTTTGTTGTTTTGAATTGATAATAATTTGTTTTCATTAATAATAGTCCGTTATGAGAACTTCAAATTTTTTAGAGCTATTTTTTCCGGCATTCCTTTTAGATCCTGTTAGAGCATTCCATTAGTGCATTTGTTCAGTCATATTGTAAAAGTGATTAAATCTAAAATTGGATACTGTAGTTTGAAGATTTTTATTAATGTTGAATATATAGACCAGGGCTTCTTAAACTTTTGTCCTTTGCGACCCCATTTACGATTGCGAGTTTTTTGGCGACCCCACTTATGATTGCAAGTTTCTTGACGACCCCATATATAAGAGAACATCCGTTTCAGGTCTTGATTTGACCCATCTTCAGTGCATACAAATAAATTTGAAAAAAAAAAACACAAAGACACACGAAATTGCACGAAAAAAATAAATATGAAACAAAAAATTGATAAAACGTCGAGTTATGATAAATTTTAAAAAATTGTAAAATTAAAATAAATAATATATTTTATTATAAAAAAGCTTATTCCAAACGAACATGTTGTCAGCTTGGAGTATGTATTACGTGTGTTTTAATTACTGGATGGATGCCCAAGAAACAATTTTATCATATTATTTCATCAAACCTCTCGCTATATATATATATATATATATATATATATATATATAGATATAGATATATATATAATTAAATTAATATTTTTAAATGATTTATTTATTTGGTAACAATGTACATATACATATGAAAATATATAATTTTGAGAATTTGTTGAAAACATAAAACAATCAAGACATAATGTATAACATCATGATCGTATGATTTAAAAATTTGACATTAAAATTTCTCGTGACCCCAGAATTTTCCCACGCGACCCATAGTTTAAAAAGCCCTGATATAGACTTATATTTGAATTCTTTCACTTTTTTTAAATGCCAAACAAATAATTTTGTCAGTAATTGTCTATTATAAGAATTTTAATTAATTTAATTAATTTTCAAATATGCAGGAGGACTTTGATGGTCTTGCCAGAGTGTTTAATTAAAATTAATGCAATTTGTTCATAGACCTTATAATACATATATAAGGTCTGTGTTTTTGTTTGGTTCATTTTCCTAGTGTCTCCATTATTATCTATTTGTTAAGATAAACAAAACATTTTATCATTCTCTGGTTATCTATTTCCAACTTCCATTACATTTTTTTTAGAATTTATTAATTAGCAATTTTTCATTTTTCTAAAGAAGGTTCGTTTCTGAATGTTAATTACAATGACAAACCGATCATGTCATATTTCAAGTATGACTTTAATTACATTATTGTTTTTAAATATTACAAATATTTTTAATGCTATTATAAATATATAATTTATAATTTATCATTATATAAATGTGTGTAATGTTTTTTTTATTTATTTAATTTATTCTGCAATCTGTTTTACATGAGCATTAACATTAAGCAGAGATTGTGTCTTCTATTACATGAACCATAAAATTATATCTAAATCTGGCGTATCCTGGTATCCACAATCGATTTTTTCCAATAATAAAATTCTTTAATCTCAAAAAAGTCTTTTATGTTTTATGATAGTTTTATTATAGTTCTGGACATCTTTATTTAATGTTTCTTTTATTATTAACAAAATATTTTGGAGAAACCTGTTTGATTTTCGGAGCATTGACTTAACTAGCGTTGCTCCCACTTTATTTCCCCCCATACGGTACCCCGTATACTTGGGCACATATAAAAGCCTCATGCAGAACATTTGCATATATTTCTTCAGCTATATGAAATGTTTTAATAGGTGTGTTTGTGCAAAAAAATAATAGATTGTGTGGTATATTGATTGTTTTTAATAAACGTTGGAGAAGGTAAATATTTTAATATAATATTTACTAATGAGATATTAAAAAAATGTCAGTAAAAAATATTGGAAGTTAATGTCCGGTATAGATATGATTATCGAAGTAATTAGGATATGATATGACAAATATTTTAGGCGTGTCGATAGTTTCACCAAAATACTAATTATTTTGGTCTAGAAAATATTATAAATTCTTGAATTTTATCAGAGACCCTCATTAGGACGTCATAACATAAATATCTTTAATCTAGTATTATAACGGGTTCGAATTACTTCAAAGTTTGACTTCAAATTGTTAAATTTAGTTACTATAAATAATTAATGAAATGACTATTCAGTCTAATCTAGGACGCTGTTTATTTGATAACTAATTCAGTAATTACACAAGAACTTGCGGCTTTTCTTTTACTTAATAATAATGCCCTTTAACACATTTTGTTAACAAGTACAAGATTTCCAACTTGTGGGGCAAGCCCCCTCAGGAAGCTCCTGGCTGTTTCAAGGGGGTCATGCAGATGTTTCCAAAATATTATTTTCGAATTAAATAAAAAAATCTAATTGGTATGAAAAAAGAACAAATGAATGAATAGATATTATGTGGCCAATAAGAATTTTTTTTTTAAATAATTCATTTACATAATACAACTGCATATTATTTTATCGCCCGTCAAACACATTATAATGTCAACTGAGTGTTCAAGAAATTCGATGGCTAGAAAAATTCAGGGGAGCGCAACATTTTTTGAATAGCAGGGGCACGGTACGAAAATGTTGGAAACCACTGCTTTACCATAATTTAATTGTTTTCAAGAATAAATTATCATGAAATATTAACATATTTCGACTGATCGATAAATAAGTTAAATTCGATTACTAGAATATAAAATCCACATTCTGTTTATTTTTTAATATTTCATTTTGTAAGCTAATTTCGTAACTTATTTTTTTTATATGAATAAATAATCGATAAAAATAAAGTGTCTAAAATGCACATTGCGTAAGAATAAAACAATTTAGCAGAATATTATACAAAATTTTGGATATTAAACAGCATAAAATGTTTTATGGTATTTTTATCTGTTCTAAAAATACAATAGAGTAGTCAATACTCTATATTTTATCTATTTTTATTTTATCAATTCTGAAAATTCGTCATATCTATGATACATGTAAATTTATAAATATATGAAAAAATTAAAACCGCAAAAACTTTGTAATAAATACCATGGACATATATATATCTTTGAAAATTTGATAAAAATAAAACGGCCAAAACTTTGTTTAAAAATCCATGGACATGGAAACAAATCATAAAGAATAATTATTAAATAAGCAATAATAAAGTTATTGAATTAAAAAAAATGAAATTATGGGATATTGATGATAAATAATAATAAATGAAGATTTCAATCGGTCGAATGATTAGCATATTTTTCATATCAAGCAATATAAATTTATTATACATACTTTTAATGCACATAATTTGCGGCGTAAATGAAGTTTATCTGAATCTAATATATAATTTACGACCTATATTATTAATTTAATGATTTAATTGTATTTTATCTATATCTCTTCATCTTTGGTCGTATTTAAGAATATATAAAAACATCATTTTTGTAATCGTTATTTTTATTCAAACGTAAAATATTATTCAACGATAATTTAAGGTACTTTATTGATGAGAGTGGGAAAAGTTATAATTATAGTTTCTTCTACCATCGTCGTAATGTAAGTTCAAATTTTAAAATAACGTAATATAAACGGACTAAACATTTTGAAAACTTTAATCATACTTTTATTTTTGTAATTTTAAATAAAGAAAATTTCTATTACTTTTTCATTAATATTTGTGGGTATTCTGAATAAAACGAAGTGAAATATTAGTGAATCACTATCATTTATTCTAGAACAGGATGCTCTTGGCAGTAGGAATATACTTTTTGATAGCAACAACTGAAATAATAGGAAGGTAAAATATCCCAAAATTTAGATATTGATTTTTAAAAGCCATACTAACACTTGTAGCATATTTAAGCATATTTGATAATTCGGAAATATTGGTTATCACGTTTTCTGCAAAAAAAATATCTAAAAGGGTGGAACAAAATGTTGAGAGGTATTGATAGATTGAAATGTATTTATTTCTAATGTATTAAAATAGTTTGTGAATATCACGTTTTTTTTTAAATTATTAAATATGCTTTAATAATGCTATCAATGATGCTTCAACATTGGAAGAGGAAGATGGGTTATAGGTACAATTGTAATTTAAAATTATTTTAGCAATATTTATCATATCATCATTATTTATATTATCCAAATCCCCTTTCAAATAAACCTGATTTAACCATAAAATCTGTTATTTGTCTTTGATTTTATCTTCCCAAATTGATTTTTAGCTATTGATGCACAAATTAGAAAACGAAGAAATAAATAATTTGCAATGAGTATGAAGAAATCAGGAGAAGCAGTGACTGTGATAAGCGACGATGATTCCACCAGCACATCAACAAATCAAGAGGAAAAATCGAATACTCTACAAGAAAAAACCATGAACGCTACAAACACCGAAGAAAACGAGAATGTTGAGGAAACCAAACGTAATTTAAGGAAGAGATCTCGTATTGAATATGCAGACAATGAAAAGACAAATGAAGAAAATAAAAACACCAGTCAACAAAGGGATAGAAAAACCGGAGCGAAGCAACCAAAACGTTGGATACTGGTGCTGATAAAAACAAGACAACAGTAAAGCCCCAGACCCAATTTGATGATTCCATGTACAAAGATTTACCAATAGGATTTGATGGAGCAGCGTTTCTGTCTCGGTTGCCCCATGATAAAATGACTTCTGCTGAAGCTGCATATTTCAAAGATATAGCGTCAGTAGGTCAGGTTGCTCAAAAAGTCTATTTACAAATTAGAAACAGAATTCTTCATCAGTGGGTAGAACATCCAAAGGTACAATTAACCGCGGAAAATGCACTGAAAAATGTTGAACCGCCTTATAATACCGATGCGCGATTAGTTAATAGGATTCATATGTTTCTTGAACGCAATGGTTATATAAATTATGGAGTTTTCAGAAGATTAAAACAAATTCCGAACAAGAAATTTGCACGAGTGGTAGTGATTGGAGCAGGAATTGCTGGTTTATGCGCTGCAAAACAATTACAACAATTTGGTTTTGATGTCGTTGTATTAGAAGCACGAGATAGAGTAGGCGGAAGAATAACTACTTTCCGAAAATGCAACTACATTGCTGATTTAGGTGCAATGGTAGTAACAGGTTTAGGAGGCAATCCAGTCACTACATTAAGTAAACAAATCAATATGCAACTGCATAAAATTAGCCAAAAGTGTCCCTTATATGAATCCAATGGTAATACTGTTCCGAGAGATAAAGACGAAATGGTCGAAAGAGAATTTAATAGATTATTGGAAGCAACTAGTTATTTATCACATCAATTAGATTTCAATTACGCTGGTAATAGGCCAGTATCTTTGGGGCAAGCAATGGAATGGATGATCAAATTGCAAGAAAAACATGTAAAAGAAATGCAAGTTCAATATTTGAAAAATATCATTCAGCAACAAGAAAAACTGAAAGAAAATCAGTCACAAATGCTGGAACTCAAAGATACATTAGTGGAACGAAAAGGTAAAATCGATAGCCTTCAAAAGATAGTACGAACAAGAGATCCAAAAGAAAAGAAAGATATGAAAGAGGAGTTTGAGATCAAAATGATTATGAAAGAGATAAATTCCTTGTGTAGTAAATGGGATGAAATGAAGAAACAACAAAATGAAATAGAATCTAAATTAAGAGATTTAGAAGATAATCCACCGAGTGATGTCTATTTATCAACTCAAGACAGACAAATTCTCGATTGGCATTTTGCCAATTTAGAATTCGCAAACGCAACTCCTTTAAATAACTTATCTTTAAAATATTGGGATCAGGACGATGATTTTGAGTTCACCGGCACTCACCTTACCGTGCGTAACGGATACTCATGTCTACCAGTTGCGTTATCAGAAGGGTTAAACTTACAACTCAACACAGCTGTGAAAACCATAAGATATCATCAAAACGGCGTTGAAATTACTGTAGAAGACCAAAAAACAAATAAGCCAGGATTACAGACATATAAAGCCGATGCAGTTTTATGCACATTGCCATTGGGTGTATTGAAGTTAGCGAATTCCAATTCGAGCCAGACGAATAGCGTATGTTTTGATCCTCCATTACCAGAGTTCAAGAAAGCGGCTATAACTCGCCTTGGATTCGGAAACTTAAATAAAGTAGTATTATGTTTCGATCGAATCTTCTGGGATCCGAACGCTAATATGTTTGGACACGTGGGCAGTACTACGGCAAGTCGCGGAGAGCTATTTTTGTTTTGGAACTTATATCAAGCACCTACTCTCTTAGCTCTCGTGGCCGGAGAAGCTGCTGCAATTATGGAGAACGTGACGGATGACGTGGTAGTCGGCAGATGTATAGCAGTCTTAAAAGGAATCTTTGGTAATACAGCCGTACCACAACCAAGAGAGACCATTGTCACCAGATGGAAGACCGATCCATGGTCGAGAGGATCTTACAGTTTCGTCGCAGTAGGCGCTTCCGGAAGTGACTATGATCTATTAGCAACTCCAGTACATCCACCTACTCCTGCAGGTCAACCTATAAAACCTAGGGTATTTTTTGCTGGAGAACATACAATAAGAAACTATCCTGCGACTGTGCATGGAGCACTGCTCAGTGGTATAAGGGAGGGAGCCAGAATAGCTGATCAGTTTCTAGGATGCCCGTTTAGTCATGAAGCTGCTAGTAGTTTTAAACCATAGATGCCTTCAAATTTTTCATAAAGTATTTATTTATTTTAATAATATTTTAAAGACTGAAAACTGTGAGTGTAAAGAAAAAATAAAATAAGACAATGTAATATAAATTAATACTTGCACTCATGTCGTTTAATACGCACATATTCCTTTTTCTAAATTATCTTAATTTTTTAATGTACCAATCAAAATATTGAAATTGTAAAAATGTTAATTTCTAGACGTATGCTTAATATAAATAAAGTAATTTAAATTTTAAATAATACTGTTTTGATATCTGTAGTCATTTAGAATTTATATAAATAACCATTGCATCATCTCACATTTATCAACGCCTATAAAGTAGTCATGTAAAGCTTTAGTTATTTAAAACTCATTACTAATGAAACCAGAATATGCTTATGGGACAGCAAACCATCTTTTGAATTCAGTGATATTTGCTATTTTTCAATAAATAAAGACATTTGTTTTAGCCCTCAATGGCGTTGGGAGTGTGAGAAGGGACAATGTGTTAAAAAGCCATTACTTGATACAGATGCTGAAAATGCTATTTCACTTAGCGCTTGCCAAATGTTCTGCGATCATGCAGGCGTGTTATGGCCTATACCTACAGGTGATGTAAGTCTTGGTAATACATTGGTAAAAATTGATTTGAACCATGTTCAACTCGAAGAATCCTTCAAAGATGATAATTATAAAAAATTGTTCAACAAAAGCATCGAGGTAAGTTGAAACAATTGATTACTATTAAATATCATTGATTACATTGGCTAATAATAAATAAACCACAATAGCGTTTTAGAAAACAACTAGCTTCTAAGGTACACTTAAAAGAAAAATTAAATGATGGAGGGCGAAAGTTAATAATTACTCCTAAAATTACCAATGAAGTTTTCCGTCGTAAGTGCTTCATCATTAACCAACATTATTTACTGATTACATTTCATGACTAAAATTTTTAAATTTAGCTATAACACTTGATACTGATGAATCATATAAATTATATGTAAGTCAAGCAGCTGACGACTTTGTCAATGCTACTATAGTTTCAAACTCATACTTTGGAGCTAGAAATGGCTTAGAAACTCTGAGTCAACTTATTATATTTGACGATCTGAGACAAGAGTTACAGGTAATAATAAACATATTAAACTTATTAAATCTAAAGGTCAGTAAAACTAATATATGACTGAAATATCATCACACCTAGGTAGTCAGAGATGTATCAATAGAAGATGCTCCAGTTTACAAATATAGAGGAATTTTGTTAGATACAGCGAGGAATTATTATTCTGTTGAATCAATTAAAAGGACAATAGGTAGTATTACAATGTTATGTAAGTTGTAAAAGTACCAAGTTATTAATTCCAAGGATAAATTATTTTAGATGCAATGGCATCAAGCAAATTGAACACATTCCATTGGCACATCACAGATTCACATAGTTTTCCCTTTGAAACTCCATCATTACCACAATTATATGAAAGGGGTGCCTATAAACCACATCTAATTTATTCAACAAAAGATATCGAAGAGGTTGGTTAAAATATGAATTTAATGTGTGATCACTAAATTTTGGATTAATATCATCAAAAATAATTCTCAATAGGTCTTAGAATATGCTTTATTCCGAGGAGTACGCGTTCTTCCAGAATTTGACGCTCCTGCTCATGTTGGAGAAGGTTTTCAAGGTTTGGATGTAACCGCATGTTTCAATGCACAACCATGGAACAAATACTGCGTAGAACCACCATGTGGGCAGCTGGATCCAACACAAGACAGATTATATGATATTTTACAAAAAATATATACAGACATGTTTAATGTATTCAAGCCTGATATATTCCACATGGGAGGAGATGAAGTATCAAACTCTTGCTGGAATTCAAGTACTCGCATCCAGAATTGGATGGTTGAACAAGGATGGGGTTTAACCGATGAAAACTTTTTGAGATTGTGGGGCCTGTTCCAAGAAAAAGCATTGGAAAAAGTTGAACAAGTAGCTGGTAAAGAATTACCAATAATTTTGTGGACGAGTCATTTAACAGAACTACCTCATGTGACCAAGTTCTTAAATAAAGATAAGTATATTATTCAAGTATGGACAACAGGAGCAGATAAACAGATATTTGATCTCTTAAATAATGGATATAAATTAATAATGTCTAATTATGATGCCTTATATTTTGATTGCGGGTTTGGTGCCTGGATAGGTGCAGGAAATAACTGGTGCTCCCCATATATAGGCTGGCAAAAGGTTTATTCCAATAGCCCTAAACAAATTGCTGGAACATATAGTAATCAAATATTGGGTGGTGAAGCAGCACTGTGGTCAGAACAAGCAGATGAGCATTCTCTAGATGCAAGACTTTGGCCTCGAGCTGCAGCATTAAGCGAACGATTATGGTCTGAGCCAAGCACAAGCTGGGAACATGCAGAAATCCGCTTGATGATTCACAGAGAAAGGCTAGTTGAACAAGGAATTGCTGCAGAAAGTATTAAACCACAATGGTGTTTACAAAATGAAGGAAATTGCCCTGCTGCATCATGATAAATATGTAAAGAAAAATCTTATTCACATGTACTTATACTTATAATTATTAATACTTGGATAATGGGTAATTTTATGACAAAATATATGAAGTATAAATATTTCTTACATTGTTGCTTACATTCGATTATGAATGTTAATTTCAAATTTAATGTGCTTGCTCACTACAAGCGTACAGTAAACAAAGAACATTATACACTTTATCAATATAAAAAAATCTAAGATTACATATATCAATAAATAGAATATCTAGAACAAATATTATATAGTTACTTTTATACATTCAAAACAAATACAAATAAAAAATATTGAGTTTTATATATATTTGTGGTATCTTGTTCTAACCCAAAATTTCTTATTTTTAGTTTTAAGTCACTTTAATGGAAATAAGCTATAAGCTATTTAGCCCCATAATTCTTCAGATCTTCCAAATTTGTATACAAGGGATCCCAAAAAAATTAATAAGTTTTGTAACAGAAGACCTACACCAGGATAAGTATGTCCATCTCCGGCTAAAACAAAAATGATTAATATTAAACAAATTCAACGACTTCTGCAGATCTGATTATTAATAAATAATAACCTGCTGACACAAAGTCTGCAAACATGATCCAACAAGCTGCAATTACAGATGCAAAACCAATTACAAAACCTAGGAATAACCAAACTCTAGCTCCTCGAGGACCCATACAACCTCCTGAATATGCATCACCAAGAACCTGTATTTATCAATTAATAAATACCAATAGTATTTCAGGAAAACATTAAAACATATTTTACTGCCCTACTTTTTTTTCAAAAGTATGATTAATAATCTTTGTGACCAACTCAATGTGTTTATCCTCACAGAATTAAAAACAAGTTTTATGACCTAGATTACTCCACTGATGTTGAGTAATAAAACAAACATTTGATAAAGTGAACTAAACGCTAGGAAATATTATCTAATAATAGAATTTTATAAATCCTTGAACATTAATAGGCATTAAAACTATTATTAATACCTGTGCGTTAGATACTGAATTCACCATGAATAAACTAATGGTTCCAAAAACACCACAAACATGATGTGCAGCACTAAGTGATCCAGGATATACTGATGCTGCATCAATTAGAATCCACCAACCAGAAAAAAACTACAAAGATTTGCAACACTCAATAAAGCAATAATGCATTTGAATCTTTCATTTGTAAGCATTAATAATTACCAGTATTCCTGCAACTATTGAAGCGTATGTATTTCTTTTATCTCCAGCTTCAAACCAAATACATGGAGGGATTGATATATTTTCAAAACAATTAGTCATTTTTATAAGATTTTAATATTTGTGAAACTTCTTGAGATTCAATTCTTGTCACTTTTAGCACAGAGTATTTATTGAAAATGGAGAAATTATTGTAAGTGAATCTGTCATATAAATACTTTTGAAATACAATAAACATATGATATCACAGAGTAAAATAGCTTTTAGAAGTTAAAATAACTTTAAAGTTTGACTTTTGATGATTCTTGCAGTGACAGTTCATAATGTTAAGACAGTGTTGCAACACAGAAAAACTAACCATATTAAAAGTTGAAAAGTTAACAACACTAAAAATAAATTTAATAAATATATTAATATTAAAGTTTAATAATAAATTTTAAATTAAAACAATGTTTGAAAAAAATTTCGTTTCTAAAATAAATTCATACATAAAAGAAGAGAACATAAATGAATAAATTCATTCTTGTTCTTTTTAGTTTCAAGAACTTTAAATGTTGGCATGTTGGCATTACTGTTTGTTTTACAGCAAATGTCAAATGTGTCAAATGGTGCAAAATTTCAATCAAAATTATTTTTAATGTCTAAAATGTAAACAATAACGTGGAAATAGTTACCGGGCGTGAAAAAATGCATGAAAACTAGTGAGCTATGAGAAAATTGGTAAAAAAAGCTATATATATAGAAGAAAAAACTGTAGAAATAAATTTGTGAATGTTTACAATGTTGAAGGAGGAAAAGAGTTTGCTTCTTAAACTATGGTTTGCTAGAGATCTTAATGCCAAAAATATATATCATTTTAAAACGTCACGTCTAGATTTTTGTATGATTTACAACGAATTCTAAAACCATATATTGACGTAGTATGGATGTTGTTTCCTAATGAATAATTCATCTAAAAATAATAATTTCTCTTTCTTTGATATTTGTGTGGGGTCGTTTGAGGAGAAAAATTATATAAATTATATAACAAATGCAAACTTACATTGTTATTAAAAGCTGCATAATTGATGTAGAGTAATAAAACAAGCATTTAATAAAGTGAACTAACACAGCGTATGAGTACACATCTATTGATAGCACTAATACTACTAGCATTAGTATTGTCAAGAACATTATAGACAATAAATCAATATTGACCGAACCAATATTGGTGAGACCTATAGATATTGTCCAGACCAATATTGACATTTTCAAACTACTAACGTCCTTTTCAAGTTTCACTTACTAAAAAAAAGTATTAAAAACAAGCTTCTTCACATGCCTAAAGAATTACATGTCATCATCAAACAGTTTGTGGGTGTTATCAATCACATTTTTGAAAAATATTATTTTAAATGCATTTATTATTAAAAATATATTATAAATGTTTATTTCTTTCTTTATTTTTATCTATAGCTAGTTCAACAATATCAGTTCCTCTAAAGAAATCTAAAGCTACAATATTAGCAGAATGTCCTAGTTCTTCACTATACCTGTAAAAAATGTATAATGAATGAAATTGAAATCCAAATTCAAAGTTTAATTTCTAATTTTACCATTTTGTTATGTATCTATTGACATTATCTGCCATTCTGCGTAATCCTTTGAAACGATCATATAAAATATCCCATATATCAGGTGTCAACTCTGCCATTGATGCCACTGGCCTGAAATTATGCGCTATGGGGTCTTCTCTGCAAAAATAAAAAATTTCAATTAATTGTTGATGAAAATAAAACGGCAAAAACTTTGTTTAAAAATCCATGGATAGAATTTGAATATTTACCTAAGTTCTGGAGTTCGCAAAAGATGCGTTTTAAGTGCTCCAACATCTTTCACATTGCCCCAATGTTGTTCTACAGCTTGCCATACAAAATCTCTTCCAATGGTGCGTGCAGTCTATTTACAAAATAAGTTAAATACAATTTTATATTAATTCATAATATAACATATTTCTATATATTATATATCATATTTATACGTTACTCTTTCGTGGTCATAAGCAACAATAATTCTTTTGCCCACTCTCCAAATGTCTTTTAGAGTTGCACCCCAAGTTAAACTGGGTGGTGCCATATTATTGCCTAAATGCTCTAATAGAAAGTCTAGCAGAGCAGCATGACTTGTCATATCATCATTTTCGAAACCTAAACGAAACATAAATTATTTAAAAAATGTAGATTTCTATTTTCTATCTCATGTAACTTACCAACTGGAAATTCTTGGATATCGACAATAATGATTTCGTTAGTTCTTTCAGCAAAAGAATTGATTTCTTTTAAGACGCCTTCAAGTGGCTGCATTTTTGCTGGTCCATGGTTTACCCAGAATTCATCAGGCCGGGATTCTTTATTCCGTAAACGGTTGAAGACCGATATGGGCCATCGAGTTCCTTTATAAAAACCGACTCTGATGTCTAAATATCTTATTCCATGTTCTAATTGAGATGTTATGCTCTCATCCTGTAAAGTTATCAAATACAAAAATAAACAAAATTGTACATTCAATTCAACCAGATTTTAAAATAAGTATTCGTTGTTTCTAAAAGCTCCTTAGATTATATTTATCTTTCCTGGGGAGATTTCGGTATAGAAACGTTTCTATATTTATAAATTACTCATAAATTAATTATCAGTATTGATATCTTATTGATTAAGTCTATTATTTACATATGTAGGGAAGTTCATACAACTACCTAGTTTTATTTCAATTAATTTAAATATTTTTAAAATCTATTAAGTTGTTAAGCAAATCTAGTTTAAACTTGCCTTGGTCGAAACAGACCTGCGTGACTGTATATTTGGTGACATATGTGTTCCTTTTTCCGTCCGAGCAAGCTCCGGAATCGTGTGTTCCGGGTATAAAAAGTTCGGAAAGTCTTCTATTTCCTATGTACTGCCTCAAATCATGCATCCAGGTGGGATAGGTGGAGAGGCACGTGTTGCCAATGACTCGCCCGCTCCCAGTTAAGTACACAGCCCAAATGGCATAGCAGCCGGTTGAATTACGAGCCCAAATGGGGTCGTATTTGATATCTGTAATAAAAAATATCAAACTGTGTTATATAAAAGCCATAAAAATATAATATCAGTAAAAGCAAATACATATTGGAAGTCAATTTTAGTAACAGCAAGTAAGTGGCATTTTGCCATGGAAAGTTCCATGAACTTTTCGATATGAGTAAATAATCCAATTAATCAATAAGGTAATAATTAGGTTATTTATGAGTATGCCGAGTGAAAATAGGGTGAAAATTATAAACTGAAACTATAACAGATTATTTAATTTCGTTTAAATTAGTAAACTATAGGTACATTCGACCACTACAGTTTAAATGTTAATTAGTGCGGTGCACGGCATTGTGCCTTAAGGTAAATTGCTGGAACTTCCTGTACCGTAATTAACAATCTTGGTACGGAACCCAAAACAATTTACACAAAATGTGTACACATGATTAAAATCTCTATAAAGAGATGCTCCGTATCTTCGGAACGGCTAGACCTGCCTTCTCCAAAAACTAATCAGCACGTCTCCTTATCAATACGAATCGAATGTTTATTGAATTATTCAAATCGGTTGATCGGTGTTCCCGAAATCGTCGACGAAAATTTGTATCCACACACACACAAACAAACACATGCACACACACATACACACATACATCCATTTTTTCTAAAGTATGCCAAAATGTTCAGAAACTTTTGAAACGTAAAGATATGTTAACATTTTCATTTTCGATTCTTTTGCGATTACTATAACTTACCATACGGGAAGTTAATAATTATATAATGATGAATGAATGCTAAGTTGCTGTAGGGTTTGTAATGTTAGAAACCATAACAGATTATTTAATTTTGTTGAAATTCAAAACACTAGTTTAAAGGTTAAAAATTATTTAGCAAATCCGGCACTGGTACTGGTCCAGTATAGATATACGTATGTCCTAAGAGCATATTATTACAAACTTCAATTAATTTTTATAATTAAATTACTTTTCGTACGCCTATAATACTTTGGCATGTGCACTGGAGACCGTGAAACAGAAAAAAATCCAATTATTTTACATTATTAGCAAGGACTTTTTTCTATTTATACACGATTTAAAAAAAACTTAAATGACAATTATATCAATAAGATGTTCTATTTGTCCTTTAAAAAAAGTTAATATCATAGTAGTAAAAACTAAACTATTAGGTGATCCTCTCTAAATTATATACAGACATCATTAAAATTTATTAATAAATTGCAAAATGACCATTATTTACTAATATTCCAAATATAAATATTAATTATGTAATATTTATTACTGACCAGTATTTACCCATCCATCGCCTGAATCTGGTTCTATTTCCAAGAGAGGATTTTCATCAGGATGGTATTCTTCCGGGTCGCTCCTCCATAGTAATATTTTATCATTTTGTTCCGGTTGCAAACCACCTACAGAGATATAATGAAATAATTTATTTTTATTATTAAGATTATTTGGTTTACTAAAAAAACATAAATTCATCTATTCTGATAAAAAATTATGTGACTTTTAAAATAACAATGTTTACGTAATATGTTCAAATTTAGGTGGTTTCTAATCATAAAGCAGAACGCTTAGTTTGCATTTTACAATAAGTTTGTATCAAATTTGCAGAGTAATCAAAATAGTAGGTAATGATAATAATAGGCTCTATTAACATTGAAATAAGTGCTCACCTGTCCACGAAACTTGAATAGACCGTGACTCCGCTCCAATAGTCAGAGATAGTCGTAATTTAGTAGAAATCACATCTGTAAAAGTAAATTTTGTATTATCCAGAAATTTATTATTGATAAGTGACTATATTTCCTCAAAATATCACAATAACATTGATGACATTTAAATCGATATGCAAATTAGTTTTTTATTGGTCTTAATTTGCCAGTAACCTACTTTGCAACGCTTTCTAGACCATTAAGTTTTCATAATAGATTAAATAACTTTATTACCTGACATAATTTTAATAGGAAATTAATCATACTGTTTTTTAATTGCAAAATAAATTTGAAGAATAATTTATTAATAAATTTATTTACGGCACCAATTGAACAAAAATTCACATTTTCTTAATCTGTTTAGGAGGTGTCCATTAATTACAAAAAAATCACGAAATATCACATGGGGAAGGGATAGGCATTGAAAGATATCACGCGTATTTAATTT